TGTCTTCTTTGATATAAATCTACCCAAATCCATGTCTTGTCCAATTTGATAAGCCTTCCTTCCACCTAGTTATCAGTCAATAAAAATTGAATTCAAAATTAAGTATAATGACTATGTTTTGCTACACTACTAGAAATTCTTCCTCATTAAAAATTCACTAAGTTAATTATATAAACCAGGAGATTGGTTTAATGTGGGAATTCATTCTCAAGTTTTGCATCTATAAGTAATTTTGCTTACTATACACACATCAGTACAAATATGTTAGGAACAGTAAACTTCTTATGGAGAATATTGGAAAATAAACTTCATGTTTTAACTAGTGCAGAAACTAAAAACAAACAGCAACTGCAGACTTCATATAAATTCATTACGCTCTTTTGCTGTATTAAATGTGCATGCTATGAGTTGCTTTTAAAATTGTAATCTCAAATCAAGCATCAAGATGAAATGGATTGCATCAGCCACAGTTTTGTGTAAACGTATACATCCAGTGGAGAAAAAAAAAACAGCCTTATCAAATGCATCACAAGCATATTGCCTTCTAAAACTTTTTGCCCTATTTTTTTGGTCTTTGACACATAAATGTATTATGGCTGTTAACAATATTTCCTTGGTCCATCAGCAGCCTTACATGCTCAGAACTCTGGAGAAATGTGAAAAAGTGCTTGCTATCAAAAGCAATATGAAACATGAATTTCAAATTGAAACATAGCACCAGATAATGCTGATAGAGAACGCACTTGTTTGTAAAGAAATATATGTACAGTATATATTTGTACGTGTGTATACATAGCATGTGTGGCACATGTGCATTCTCTCTCTCTCTCTCTCTCTCTCTCTCTCTCTCTCTCTCTCTCTCACACACACACACACACACACACAGGGTCTGTTATTTAAGTTTGCAGTGCAAAGAGAATTTATATTCTGCACTCATCCATACTAAAAACAATCCGTTCATTTGCATTTACAGAAGTGTATATAAGAAAAAAGAGCTATATTTTTAATAACCTGATTTGAATTTCAGCACCACATTGCAAAACACAGATTTGCTATATTGCCACCTCACTACCACTAAGGCCATCAGGCTGAACAAAAGTGATTACATCTCTGGTTCTCCTAGTCTCAGACTCTGGCTATTGGCATGATAAAATAAATTATTATTTCCTCAAAATGCTTTACATGCTTTGATTGCCTGATGTAACACCTCATCAAATCTCAATCCCACGTAGGCATGCATCGAACTGAAGCCTGAGAAGGCAGCAGGCATATGTGTGACAGTGATATGTGACGTACAAGAAAGAATCATGGGTGATGAGCATGATACATGTTCAGGTTACAATGACATTTGATGCTCAGGCGACAGAGATGTGCCTAGTTCCCTGTTCTTGAGCACAGATTTTCATATCTTCTTTCCCAATGGCAGCCCTGTCACTTTCTAAATAGGAATCCTCCTAAGGAGCACTCTGTGTAGGGACAAGGAGCTGCAGCCAGCAGCAAAACCAGTCCAACTCCAACAAGGCCCCTAGAAATGTCTTCCAAGGAGAGGAACACATCTTAGCTCAACTTCCTAAGGATTTCAGTACTTATTTGTTTAACAGCAATACAAGGGCCTTGACAATCACATAAACAACCATGGCTTCTCACCTTTTGTTACCATGACTTTAGGAAACACCTAAATCAATCTTTAACAGCAACCTAGATGAAGCATGAATGGCACCAAAAAAAGGCTGCCCCTTTCTGACAGGGACACTGCTTAGTAGCCATTGCAGAACACCTGAGAGGTTTATTTAAAAATAAAAATGCCACTTTCATTAGAATTCTGCTAGTGTTGTCTTAAGGCCTATGTAGTCCCACATCCTTTCCCCCCATCATGAATAGGTAACTATCTGGATGCCAAAGGTGAAACTCACAAGAAAGAACTTGTTCTGGTAACTGTTATGCAGCAGCCTCATTCAAACAATCTGTTAATACACATTATGGCTGGTTGATTTGTGGCTGGTATCGTAAACGAACTCACCTAAAATTCTTTCTTGGAATTAATTCTTACAAAAGTTTACTATGGTATATGAACCAGCTGCTTCTTGAATACTGCAAATAATATGCTATGTTCATGTTTAATAGCACTCATAGTCTTAACTTTGGAAACGTCCAAATGGGTCAATATCACTATATTTTAGTTTGACTATGGGCTATGTTAAAAGCATTTCCTTTTATTTGTCCTGAATTTTCCACTGAGCTTCATCAGAATCTACAACGTATTATTATAAGAAAGTAAATCTTATCCATGTACTACACCGTACAAAGTTTGACACAGTTTTATTAATATTTCCTTTCTAAGATGGTATGGTAAGATGCCAATCTATACTAACAAATGTTATCGGTGCTTTCTATTCAGTAAACAGTCCTGTGGTAGGAAGGAGTGGCAAAACAAGGATGTCTTCCATTGTTTAAAGGGATTCATTAACTTCACAAAACTAAAGATGCTTCCTTTAGAAATGTTAAAAGCTACAATGTGTGGACTCAACACAGCCTATCTGAGCCAGCGTGTCTCAACTTGGATGCTCATCAGGAGACATTCAAAATTGGGAAACCCTTAAAAATTTAATTTCAACTTTATTTGTTGCCTTTATTACTTCTTCATATCTAAACAGTTGAGAAAGTCTAAGTTCACTTCTTGCTGCCATCCTTCATTTTTATAGTGCACTCACTGTATCCTTCCATGGTAATTGCAGAGATTTGTCACATCTGAGCATATTCTCCTTATCCATTATATACAGCTTCTAAATGTCTTTGTAGGGGTGGAGGGAAGAAAAAAAGGAAATCAATTTATGGCACCTTGCTTTTTCAAGGTTATTTCCTGCTCCTAAAGAGCAAACTTATTATTTGGAATAATGTTTCAAACCACTGTACAGAGAAGAAAATCTTTAAACTGGGCTGGGATTTATTGTAGTTAAAGTAGTGCTTTGATTACATAAGATCCATAGTATTCAAACCAAATCCAAACAAAAAAAAATTAAATTCCATGGAATAAAATAAACTGCAAAGAGCAATTCTGAATGAGTTACATTTAATTTATATATAAATGGAGTTGGGAGACTACATTAAATACTTGCAAATTATAGTTCTTAAATCTTGTGACTCAAGGTGTTAGAAATATCTGTTTTCAGAGGGAAGGGGGGAAATTGTCCAACCTTGAAGGTTATGGTTGGAAGTTACACAACAGTGTCCAAGATGGCACTCTATATGTATGATAATAATAATAATAATAATAATAATAATAATAATAATAATAATAATAATAATAATAGTAGTAGTAGTAGTAGTAGTAGTAGTAGTAGTAGTAGTAGTAGTAGTAGTAGTAAAGTTGGAAGGGACCTTGGAGGTCATCTAGTCCAACCCCCTGCTCAGGCAGGAAACCCTATAAAATAGCACCTAATAAACTAGAAGTCTACATTTTTCAGGACCAAAAAATCTTGTTATCCCAGAAATAATACAATATGGTACAATGCTGAATATATTGCTAAACACATCACATGTAGAAATGTCTGAACTGGTTTTTTTAAAGGTGTAATCTTGTAGTCACTTGCCTGGGAGTAAGCTTCACTGAACTGAATGAGACGGATGACTTATATAAAAATGCTGTATGTTATATCTTTGATGTTAATTAGAAAAGAAACTTCTATATCAAGGTAAAGGATATAACCATCTGAATCTCAAATCTTGATCCTCAAGTTCTGGTTAGCTAGCACTCATTTTCTGCCTCAGTAGAAGTGAATCTGCTCTGATGCATGCCATTTAAATTAATTTAATAAATTTATTTAAGGTGAATTGCCCCCCCCCCCCAAAAGGCAAACTTGCTCTCCTGACTTTGCAAGAGCCTGGATTACATTGCATCTTCTTGTAATCCCTTAGGGAAATCTAAATGCCCCCAGTTTTAGTGCAAATATCATTTGAATATTATACTTCTCACCAGCACTAATGATTTTCAAGTGGGTCATCCCATATGGAACTTACCTATTTTTTTTTATAAAATGATTTCACAGCTTTTGGAGTATGTAAACCCACACCCACATTCCATTTTGAGTAAACTTCAAAAGCTCTTCAAGGAGGATTCTTGCCTGTTTGTTTGTATACACAGACACAGATGCAAATAAGCTTCTACAGATCAAAAAGTTGTAATAATTTGCCTTGATTTCCTTGGTGGTGGTGGTAGAGGATTGTTAGCAAAATCAGGATTAAAAAAATCTTGAGTTTTCCAGGTGACCAACTGTTTACTCATTAAATAAAACTCTTTATGTTTTGAAATTAAGCTATAATTCTGTTAGGTTAGTAATGTGTTGCAAAAATAAAACCCACAAAAATCTTATAAAAGGAAAGTTATGGGATAAGAAGATAATAATTGGAAAATAATTCTCTCTACCTCAGTTAGATACATGCTAGCAAATTCAAGTTACTCTGGTGGAGGAATTAGTAAATTATCCCCACCTGATTAACATAAAACTGTCTAAATGTTGATATCATGGCACTCTGCGTAAGCCTTTTATTAACTTAGCTTCTGCAATATTCTTTTCCTGTCAAAAAGTAGAATGTTTTACTCCAGGGGAGAAATGAAATGTGATGATTATCAACAATACAGTCATGGAAATATCAGAGTTTCTTGGTATTGCTCCTAGACATCGATGAAATAAAAAAAAATGGAGGACAGGTAATGGTGCAGAAAAATGCAAAATTTAATTCATTTTCAGCAGATGAGAATCTTGCCTTCCCTTTCAGGCATGAAGGGAAAAAGCCATGCCACAAGCCATGCAGTACAGGTGACATGCAGATTTTAAAAATCATATCTGACACAGTTAGTAAAACAAAAACCAAACTGCTTTTCCGATGCAAGTACTGTATTTGCTCTTGGGTGCTTTTGGTAGCCAAATGGCAGCTAAATGGCAGTACAGAAAAAAATCTGTCAAGATTCCACAGCAAGTCCAGTTGATACGGCTACCTACCCGTACTGGTCAGGCTGATGCATCATGGGAGACTGAGCGTTGCCATAGTTGGGATGCTGTGAAGAAAACATGGGGCGTCCGCCAGCCCCAGACTGGCTGGGATAAGCAGGCGACCGAATGTATGGTGGCCTAAAGCAGAACAAAAGAACAACTTCTTTGGATTTGTATTGGACCACAAGCTTGGACCTGATGGCAGGATTCTTCTTGCTTGAAAAACAGCCATATTGCTTTCTCTTACTCTCTGGCACTAAGGAGAAAAATGTGGTGCTTCCCTAACCTTAAATGGTGGAGTTCATCTCATGCTCCCTACAGGTGTTTCCTTTTGCAATAAAAGTCCAGTAATGACTTAGTCTTTCTATAAGTAAAAATGTAAGAAGGGTTGCTAGGAGATGAAAAAAGTATGAAGCACTGTATCATAGAAAATAGAAGTTGAAAAGCAAATTCTAAAAAAATGGAGTTGCAAGATGCCTCATTTATGAACCTAAAATATTTCATACACTAATTATAATAAATATCACAATTGATGCTGTGAAATGCAACACTTGATTTTACTGCAAATGGCCTCCTTTTAAAATTAAGAGTTATTTTTGTTTTTACACCCAATTTTAACTTCTGAAAAATATGAATTGTTCAAAGAAAACTAAACCCACTGGCCTGCTAAATTGCACAGGCTTTCAGTTATTTTTATGAAACTGTTGGTTTTACATTAAGAGGATACATTAACAAAAAACAAATTGCTGTTTTATAAATTATATTCCTCACAGTTCAAACAAGATATACATTCTTAAAGTAATAAAATAAAGGTCAAGCAATCTAATAAAATATTCTTAGCCTTTCTGGTAGTAATGGGATTATCTGCATTTTGAGCACTTACTGGTAATGTATATGTAATGCAATGAATGCTTTTTAAAAAAATGAATATATAATGTTTATACTTTTTGAAGTATTATAAATATGCATGCTGTTTTATATGCATACATTAAATATACAGATGCATATAATAGTAACACTGTTTTGCAAAGTAATCATGAAATTCATTTTTCTCTTAATGAAATTTCCACTTATTTTAACACAGTGAAACCAAAAAATACAACCAAGAACATGAATACATGTGTTTGCTATAGGTGCCTATAGGGAAAGGACAGCACATGCAAATAGTCTTTGCATTTTTGTAGATCTTAACAAACTTCAATTCAATTAATAGTTTAAGGGTCTGGAAAGGAGGCTGTGGTTATTGGATCTGACAACTGAATATAGACTTGTTTGAGGAAGAGTTTTCTCATTCTAAAATGACCAGAGAATCTGAGTATAGAAATCTAGATGATGGACCCACTTTGTTACTTAGGATGACAGATACCAATCAGATATTCTGATTAATTTATACAAAAGTTGCTTGCTATCGACAATGGCTTAGGTTCCTTTGCCAATGGCTGCAGATAAAGTGTTCTGAAAGCCTAAGATATCTTGCTTGTCTTTCCAGTAATGCTACCTTTTTCCACAATTTATTTTATCACCTTCCCCAACAATTTATTGTAGTGCTTGCATAGACTTAAATGTGTTCTTTCAGAATGGTGGAGGTTAAATGCAGGTAGTTTATGTTTTAATCGGTGGGATTTCCGCCTCTGTATTTTTTGTTTTCTGACAGAAAACATGCTGTAAAACCTCCAACACTTACCCTTGTCATTTTGGTTTGGTTCAGCCCATTCTACTGTTCTCTTTCTTTCACACACAAATGCATTTTACTTAGCATGTACATTGTCAGTGCTTTCAGATCCTTCCCCTTGGAAGCATACCTGCTCTGGGCGGAGTTGGCAGCAGCTTGCATCACTGCTGCAGCTGCCTCCTGGGCCTTACGATTCACAGTTGGCATGGGTGGTCCCATCCCGGGGCCTCCTTGCTGAGTCATGCCTGGAGAACTGGGAGTCATACTGCTCATATTTCCAGGAAACGGTCTGCTTTGCATCCCAGTTGATGGCATTCGTCCCAAGGGAATGGTACCACAAGGCTGGCCTGGACCCTGTCCGTGCATTTGGTTGCTGATGTTTATACCCAAACCAGGTCCTGGGCCACTGTAACTTGCGTTGGTCACTCCAGAGTATGTTGGCTGTCTGGAGTAGTTCCCTAAACAAAACAATATAAAAGAGGAAAATAAAGTTACCAGTTTTGAATCTATGGAAAGAGCCTGCTGGAAAAAGCTATGTGCATTCAAATTATTTTGTAAAATATGCCTAAGTATTCTTAGCTAGTATCCAGTATCTGTCAGGCATTAGCGTTGCTGGATCTATATTTCTGAAACTTATGTGCCTGAATCAATAGGAATATATGGCAAACATATAGAAAGCTTGGTAGAGGAATGTGAACAAAGGCAATAGCAATAGCACTTAGACTTATACACTATACATTTGGTTTTAGAAGGCAAGGATATACCTGTGATTGGCACATAGGGTTCTCACAAGGGAAACATTCATTTATTTAATATATAGACCACCCCATTCCAAATGAGTCTCGGCTGCTTTACAACATTAAAACAACAATAAATACCAAACAAGCTCTAGTATCTGTTCAGAGATCGCCAGATTTTAGAATAGAGCTGGAAGGGACCTTGGAGGTCTTCTAGTCCAGCCCCCTGCTCAAGCAGGAGGACCTCTACCATCTCAGACAAGTGACTGTCTAGCCTCTTCTTAAAAATCTCCAGTGATGGAGCGCCCATGATTTCTGGAGGCAAGCTGTTCCACTGGTTAATTGTCCTCACTAACCGGAAGTTTCTCCTTAATTCCAGGTTGCTTCTCTCTTTGATCGGTTTCCAACCATTGTTTCTTGTCCTGCTCTCTGGTACTTTAGTGAATAATGTGACCCCCTCTTCTTGGTGGCAGCCTCAAATACTGGAATACTGGATACTGGAATACTGTTTGGCCACCATTCAAAATTACAACAGAGCTGAAAAAAGTGACCAGTCCTCACACTTTTGACCATTGCAGCACCCCTGAAGTTATGTGATAGCAACCTGTTCACTTGGCAACTAGCTTGCACTTATGACAATTACAGTGTCTTTCAGTCATGTGATTGCCCTTTGTAACCTTCCCAGACATCTTTTGAAAATCAAAATCAATGGGGAAGCTGGCAGGTCACAAATTGTAGTCCAGTGATGCCTTGCTTAACAAATGCATCACTAAACCACAAATTTTCAAGTCCCAATTTGGTCATTAGTTGAGGAATACCTGTACTGTTATTTTGCTCCGATCTACAACTGTTTGATACCAGTGAAATCATAATTAATGTTGCTATTTGCATCATGCTTACAACTATCTATTAAGAATCATATTTTATTCTGCATAACTGTGTTTGCTGTAAGTAACAAAAGCATTTCTATGTGTTATCAGAGGTCCAATAGAAAACTATCTCTGACTTTTTTCTTGGGTGTTCCTGATTTGGCATTTCACCTTAAGAATTTCCAATACAACTGCAAAATCACCATACGGCAGTGATGAGAAAACCTGGGAAGAATACTACAGACCAAACAGCCTTTCATTCCTTAATCCCTCTTTATGTAACTTTTAACTAAACACTGCATTCAGAATGACACAATAATTAAAACAGTTATCTGATACGACAGCAAATTTTGAGGCTGCAAGTATGTTTTTTAAATACAAAGCTGCTGTTAAATAAAAGCCAGGGTATCAACAATGTGATAATGTTTCAGGAGAAAAAATAAAGGTAGGCTTCTTTCAACATCTAAGCAAATATCAACAATAAATGACAGAGAAAGCCAAGAAAGAAAAGTACAAATTTCCATGTTTTTCTAATAGATTCATAATTTGCTGGCAATGGCTTTGACAGCAAGCAGATGGATGCACCATTAGTTTCAATGAATGGAGCAGATGCTGAGCTAGTCCTCATCAGCTGGGATATCAGGCAGCCAAGTGCAAAAGCCCACATTTTTTAAGTGAGTACTCTTTGGCGCAGCAGCTTTAGAACATTAATAAGCAACCTATTCTTTCTTCAACCAATGGAGCTCATTTCAGCTAATTGGAATGAAATCCAGAGGCATTGGAGCCTCATATGGAGGAAGAAACTAAGTTGTTTAGCACTAGACTTACATGTACAAGGAAGCCAAAAACATGGATAAGAAAAACATTAACATTCTCTTATAAAAAACTTCGGGGGGGAAAATTGGGAGTTTAAAACTTTGTTTTTGCTTTATATGTTTATTCCTATGTGGCTCAGTTTAATTGGCCTTGCAGAATTTTGCATTAAGGGCAAAATTAAGAAACATAGTGTAACTCCAGTTTGATTTCAAGCAATTTCAGTATCACAGCCTTTTAAAAACCTTTCATTGCCTTTTACATGATTATATTCGGCAAATAATTAGATACATTAAATATACACCAATAGTGTGGGTTAGCCAAATCTGTTTGCAAGTCACTTCGGGAAAATCTATTTTTTTATCTCTGCAGTACATATTTTAGGTGCTAAAATAATAAAAAACATTCCCAGTATCAAAGAAACAAGTTAGAAAACTGACTATTTCTGTAAAAGGTCTTCTATATAGATTCTAGGTAATTTACTTGTTATGAACCATACTTATGTAACAGCTAATTACACACTTCATTTGCCAATGAACTTTCACCTTATAAGTTAATTTTTTTAAAAAAAACATCACCCTAGCGACCATTTTTTTAGATTAAAATGGATCTATGCTATTTTATCTTTCATTAATAGAAAATGTAATCCTAACAATAGGCTATTCAAAAAAGTCCAAAGGAGCACTTTGCAAAAAGTGTGAAGGCAGCTATATTCTTTGGAAAGCTTGGGACTTTGAAGGCGAATGTTCCCGTTACGTGTGCGTGTAGCTCAAACCTCACTTTGGCTGGGACTGCCAACAAACTGACATGGTTGGCAAACCTATGGTTGCAGAGAATGGCAGAGAGAGCTGTGTGAGTGCTCCAAAAGGTGTGTCTGCTTTAATGCTCTGAGAAAGATGCTTCACACATGCTCTCTGATTTTAAGATGTGCTCCTCCTGAGCGCTTGCCTCAACCCTACTAACACTACTTTCATACATGTATGAACTTAGAAGTGAGGCATGCAGTTTTTAAAATAAAATTTAGGCTAATAAAAATTGCAGAGAATTTCTTGTCTGCCACCTGCTCATGACTTCTGGCATCCAGAACATTGTATGTGAACTGGTAAGGGGACTATTATACAAATACTGGGTTGGCCATGCAACATTAACAATGCTACTGAAAGTGATATTTCGCTTCTTATTCACCCTTTAAAGTTACCAATGCTTCAACGGTTATGAATTAAAACCATGGAAATTAATTGGGTTTTTTTTGTTATCCTTACCTGAAGCCCAGATATTTATTGGAGTGACACATAAAGCATAAAGCAAGCATGTGCTGATGTGTGTGGAATGGTGAAAGATGATGCTTTCAAAATTCAATAAGAAATCAGAAGCTCAGAGATAAATGATTAATTGCAGCAGGTTGTTTTCTTCAAGGTCAGCATCTATTCTAAAACTGAGTAATCAACCCTTTGTATTACTTAGGATTTTAAATCTGAGCTGAATTCTACAAATCAAAATAGAAATTCAAGTTGCGCAATTGTTGTCGCTCAGCAGGAGACTCATTTCACAATTCTGAAATATCACAGCACAGATATTCCATGGCAGGATTTTAATTAGAAACTAATCATTTTGGCTGATTCCAAATTAATTATGGGAACTAAATAACACAGATTTATAGTGCAGAGCTTTTTAAAAATAGAAATTGCAGAGTGTAGGGAATTGCTTGTGTGTTTTATTTTATGACAATGATCTACTTTTATTTATTGACTTTTTTAACATAAAAGATGACTTTTTTTTATAAAGCATCAACCGGGGTATGCTCCTGGATCAGCTCAGAAGGTTGCTAGTAGGCAACACAATATTGTGCTGTTGATCTCCTTCCTTTAGGCTTGATTCCAGTCAATGGTGATAGAGAAGGAGAGATCTCACCCTTGGCCCCTACAATATGGGGGAAGTCCGTTCTGGGCCTGGGCCTCCGAGACCCAGAATGGACTTCCGGAAGGGGCGTCCACGCATTTCCGAAGAGCCATTCTGGACCTTGCAAAAAAGGGCTAAGGCGTCAGCCAGTTCGCTGAATTCAACAAAAAATTAGCTACCGGTTCTGCTGAATCGTTTTGAACTGGCTGAATCCCACCACTACAAGAGACCTCTGGGTGAGCTCATCCATCACTATGGGGTGATGTATCATCAGTATGCTGGTGATACCCAATTATATATCTCCACCCTGGAAAATTAAGCGACATCATGACAATCAGCCTGGAACTTGAGCAATGGGAATAACTCCACTACAGGAACTCTTTCTCCCCAAAATGTAAGCTACAAACAATGCATGTTTACTGTGGTACGTACTGCTTTTCACATACAAATTCAATAGTTTGATAGCTCCATGGCGAGTTACTGAATAATGCAAACTGCTCCAGCTGTTTATATTCACAACATACAATAGTTTCAACTACTTGACAGCCAACAAAACTGTTTACTGCAAGAAATATTTCTTTGTTTGGTTTGAAGATTATTTACAATCCACTTGTGTAATTTTAATTCATTTTTATTCCACATATTTCTTTGGAATAGGAAACAAACAAACATTGGTCTAGTACGAATACCATCCTGGCATTGAGACTGAGCCTTTGCTGATGTACTGATTTTCTTCCTCAGTTGTTAGATGATTTTTCTCCTGGAAGCCAGTTCAAACCACCAACCAAACCGCTTTCAAACACTAACGTCTATTCTGAAATGCTGCAGTATTACAACTTTCATTCTCCCCCATCAATATGAGATCTGGTTAAGAATCATGGAATTGCGGTCCAACAATATTTGGGGGTCTAAAACTGGAAACTACATTTTGTTTATCAACATCTTCTATTACAAACAAGAACATAAAATAAGGGCACTGGACAAAGGGCAGGCCTTGACAGAGAAACTGAGGAGGAATTTTAAGAATCCCCATAGACTTTAAAATGACAACAGTATTACTGCTGTCTTTTCCTATCAATAACTTTGATTTAACTGGAACTGAACCTATACTTATGCAATTGAATCATCCATAATTGCGAATACATTTTTAAAAATCATACACTATTACAACATCTTTTTAGGCAAAAGAACTTGGAAATTTATTTATTTTAATTTTATTTATCAAATTTCTACACTACCACTTCACCTAAGTGAGTCTGGGGATTTACAAAGGCAAACTAGCACAACAAAAAAAATATTTTGACTGACAACAAATTTATAATTATGTTATATTGAGAAATACATACAATTTTTATCTCATCACCAAATAAATGAAATGTTATTGTAATGGAGGTATTATTGTTTATGTTACGATTCTAATGGAGGCTAGAAAACAAAATGTTTAAAAGGAACTTTAGATATGAAATTAAAATGAAAGGAAATGGATAGTAAGTAATTAATGCATTGCATTCATTTTGCAAAGTCTATTGTGCATCAAGGTGAGATTTGGTTAATGTTATGCACTTTATTGTAAATTTATTCATTTGGATTTAACTTTTTGGACAAGTTTGAGAGGAATAAATAAAAATAAATAAAATAATGAATCAAAATCAAAATCCAATTTGAAACACCACAATGAAGACTTCATATCATCAGACTTCATTGACTTACAGACACAATTGGGACTCGAACTTTGGTCACTAAGTTATGCAATTGTTAAGCAAGTGATCACATGACCCAATTTATGACTATTTTTACCATGGCTATTAAGAATATCATATGGTTGTTAAGTGAATCTGGCTTCCACAATTAACTTTGCTTTTGGAAGCCTGCTGAGTAGATTACAATGATCACATGACTGCAAGATGTTGCAAATACAGGCCAGGTGGTGTGACAGTCTTCAACGTTGGGTCACTTTTTCTGAGGCCATTGTAATAGTTGTTAAATGAACAGTTATAAATTGAGGACTATCTGTATAGTTCTTTTTAGTTCATCGCAACCTTCATTCAGAGGTTATTTAAAAGGACTTCTTTTGGAGCATTCAGTATTTCAGATTTAATATTCATTCATTTATATTCCTTCATTGTTTTCAGCATTCAGCAAATCTTTCTTTATATACTGTCTTCAGCTAGTCCAAGCTATCTCCTTGACTCAGTATACAAGATGACAGAACTTTTAAAGAACGCTTGCTTTAAAAACAATAAAAAAGAGCTTTGACCAATATGGCAGTCAAAGGATCTTCAAAAGTTCAGACATCTTGTGTAACTGTTATTGAAATATTTTATTTATTTGTTTGTTTATAAAATCCTCACATGAAGCTACAAATCAGCTCTGACTGCTATAAAGCAGTGGGCATTTCCGCCAATAGTTTGGAGCATGTCCACCTTTCCTTAATATTTCGCACTGGGCTCTAAAATAACATTCTAACCTAAAGACAGCTCCAGTTCTTCTGAAACATTTTAAGGTGAAAACTGCAATATTGTCATGATCCTTGTAAACAGCTGCAATGGTTGTCTGCAACTTGCAAGAGTTTATTAGTCTGGTGTGACTGAAGCTATTATGTTGCTAATTTTATCCATGTCTATATTCATCATATCAAAGGTAATGAAGTTTATGAAATTTATCAGTAGATAAAATTAAAGAACGTGATCTAATCGTATTTCTATAGAAAAGCACTAAAGTTTTCAGAAGGAATCCAATGATCTTTTTGTTATTTTAAGATAACTGTTTCAGTAGTTTAGATTATATATTATTGATTTTATTGCAAAGTACTTCCTTTGATTGTTGTGAGCCACCCACAGTTGAGAACTGGGTGACACACAAGTTTAATAAATGATAATAACTGACTTTCTAATCTGTTTAATGTTCTTGAACTCCATTGCAATCAGGTATATCACACCATTTCACTGAACTATGTCAGTCAATCTCCTTCATATTATATATGCTAACAATAGAGAGCTGCTTTATTCTAGTAAAGTTGATATGATGAAAATCAGGGGACAGAAAACACATTTAAAGTTGGGCAGATAGCAAAGCAAAGCTGCAGAATATAACATTCAACAATGGAACCGAAAAATGGTGAGCTGAGCACATGGCTGCTTCATTGTATAACAGATTACTTACAATTTCAGGCAGCCCACTCTCTTAGCTTTATGAGATTATGTTATAGTAATTGTTCAGAATATTCCATCGTATGTTAGGGTAAAAATAAGCTGGCATCACCCTGATCCGCACACAAAAAATGATCTAATTTATGATGGCAAGGTAAATGAAAGCTGCAGAATCACTGCAAGGCTTCTTCAAACTGAGCTTGATTCATAGTGACTTTGTGGAGATAGTCATACATTTTCCCTTAATAACAGTATAGAAGGGTTTGTCACTACCTTCTGGGATTCTTTTTCAGCTTCCCAGGCTAGCCTATAGCTTTGATATTCCCAAGAGATCTCTCTTCCAAATAATAATTGGATCCAATCCTACTTAGTTCCAAGTCTAAGTCAGTCAGGAACTGCTGCTTGCTGAGAAGCCAAAGCACAATATATATTTTTTTCAATCGCCAATGAACTGAGTAAATTGAACCATCTGTGCCAGAAATAAATTTAAAAAATGGTTTCAAAAGAATGGTCCTCATTCAGTTTGCTGGTTGTTACTGTCACATGGAAGCCAGGCCTATCTCTTAAGTTGCATTAGTGGCTATTGCACTGTAAGAAAAATTAGGCACATTTTGGAAGATTGAGTTGTATCATTGCCAATTTTTGTATTCACATATTAAGAGCTAAACTAAACACTGATCATCTAATAACTCTCAGATATATGCATGATATAATATATCCAAAAATAATAACATCCTTAACTTGATGAGTCTGAAGTGGTATCTTACACATATAGCTGTGAAATGCATAATAGTACAATGAAAACATCCCCCCCCCCAATTTCTTATCTACTGAGGGCAGGTCCATCATAAGATATATGCATAAGTTCTCCAGAATAAAAAAAAAAATCTGATGCAAAATGTGAAAACTACTGTTGATTGTGGAAGATTAATAAGAATTTATCATAAAACTACTTGCATCTTCTATGTATATAACCAATAAACAGTTTTTCCAACAGGAATGGTTTTACAAAAAATCTTCTGGAGAAAAATGGTACTGTATACAGATTGAAATAGCAGTTTTAGTTCTACCTGATTTTGTTTCTATGTCTGGACCACAACCTGTTGTGGGTTACACTCCTGTCACTCTGGTGGATCTATTGGTTGGAGCAACTGCAAGCTATCTGTGTTGCAATTATCTATAATAACTTCAGGGCAATGTCAAACAGCATTGATATTGCTGTGGAACTTCAGGGCAATGTCAAGCAGCATGAAATTGTAACTTCTGAGAGCAGATTGTATGGGAGTCAGTATCAAAATAGAGATGCTGAGATCCTGAAAATATCTGTGGTAGATGCCAAAATCTGCCCCAAATTATTCCTACATCTTACATTAGGCCGTAAACATTAGATAAGAATAAGGAAAGACTTATGAACTTGTTCTTTCCCCATCCCCTGAGGTTCTCCTGTGAGAGATATTTATGTTAGGTGACTTTATTAAGATAGGCCAGTAATGGCGAACCTTTTAGAGACCGAGTGCCCAAAAACCTCCCCCCCGCCCCCGCTCCGCCTCCCACCCTACCTGCTCCATCCTCCCCCCCACCCCCTGCCCCGCCCACCCACAGGGACATGCACCGCTTCCATGACCTGCAGATCACCAAGGCAGCCCTGCAGCACCATGGCAGCCACGCCCTCTGCCCACACCCCGCAGCATCATCTGCACGCTATGGGGTGCGAGGGTGGAGTCGTGTCTCTGCTGCCCGGCTATGTCCTTGACTGCGTTGCTTCTTGTGGGCCGCACCTGGGGGCAATTCTCCTCCAGGGAGACTGCTGGTGAGGAGGAGGCCACGGGGGGAGGCGGGGCTGGGGCGACGGCACGTGTGCCCACAGAGAGGACTCCGAGTGCCGCCTCTGGCACCCATGCCATAATTTCGCCACCACTGAGATAGGCAATTGTAACTATGATCACTTTTCCCAAAAAAGAGAGGAAAACAATTTTGCCCCAACTCAGAATATGCAAATTCTGAGGTATTTCCAATCAGCTTTTAATAAACAAAAGTTGGGGTAGGAAGTATATATTAGTACTCTTTTCTGCTAGCATTTTTAATAATGATATTGCAGGAAAAAATGAAAGAGCATTCTTAAAAACACATTTTATTGCATTTTGTTAGGATTTTAAAGGGAAAAATGGAAAAGCTAAACATATTTTAAATCATTATTTTCCAACATGGTCAAAAATAAAAAGTTAGAATATATATATAAAAAAAGATATGACCACCATCTCTGGCATATACAGGTAGTCCTCAACTTATGATAACTGAGCCCAAAATTTCTGTTGCTAAACAAGTCAATTAAGTGAATTTTGCCCCTTTTTATGACCTTTGTTGTCACAGTTGTTAAGTGAATCACTGCAATTGTTAAGTTAGTAATCCAGTTGTTAAGTCAATGTGGCTTCCCCATTGATTTTGCTGGTCAGAAAGTCACAAAAGGTGACCACATTACTCCAGGTCACTGCAAACATCATAAATATGAATCAGTTGCCAAGAATCCGAATTTTGAGCATGTGATCATGGGGATGCTGCAATGATCGTTAAATGTGAAAAACGGTTATAAGTCACTTTTTTCAGTACTATTGTAATTTTGAAAGGCCATCAAATGAACTGTTGTAAAAAAAAAGACTGCCTGTAACTCATTTTTCTACCGAATAAATCATAGAACACTAATTAAACCCAGAAAAGTTCCTATGTTAATTATTTTACCTTGTGGTCCATACTGGCTCATCTGAGTTCCATAAGTACCACTTGAATTACTTTGTGGAAAGCTCCCGATTCCAGAATGCATTTGACCTCCAGGTGAAGGATGGGGTGACATAGAAGGTCCAGTCTGCTGAGATGCATATTGTGACAACTGAGGGTTTCTTTGAATGCCTGTCATAAAACCTAAAGTTAAATAGACATGACAGAGAGAAAAATTAGGGACCTCCATATTAATAACTTAATTTAAGGTAAATATTGAACACTGTCAGTACTTTCTTTTGTATCTCATGACATTAGAGTTGCAGCTAGAGTTATAGAAGTATTTAAATCTTGGAGTCCAAAGTAGCTAAACAGGGCATTATATAACTACAGTAGTAATGCTGTGGCTTGGACTTTATCACATCTATAATGGCATACAAAGATGATTAATAAATATTAAAATAAAATTAGATAAGACAGAAAATTCTAATTATACTTAATAGCAATTTCTCAAACATACTTTTTTGCAAATCCCTTCTAATCTACAGTATATGAGGAATATGACAGTCTTTCAGAAGATAACACAATAGACATTCCTACAATTCTTTTGGCATTCGTTGTTCATTTTCTGCCTCTGTAACACAAAAGACTGCCATTATTGCCCTATTTTGGGAGTTGGGTGCACTGTTATTACAAAAAAAAAAAATCTGCTTCAGGAATGCTCGGGGCATGATTAAAGGGAGAATCTCAATCATATATTAACAATTCATATGGAGATGATCATGGTTTTGCTATGTCCATATGAATTGTTAATATGAATTTGAGCAGACCTTTGCATCATGTCACAACTACTAGTTTTGCCTGCTTCTGTCGTCCTATCATAATACAAGACCTGTGAATACCCCAGCTCAAAAAATGATGCTCATCCCTACTTTAAATGTGGTGCAACTAGAAACAAAAAACACCCAAAGATCTTTGGTTAATGTTAAGAAATATGAATACTAATTTTACATTTTAGCCAAATACTGTAATTTACCACAGAAAAATTATACAGAGTTCTCCTCAACTCTGAAAATACTTTTGGCCATTTGAGTTCATTCAATATATCACCCATCAATGCACACAAACACTCTGGTCTGACAGATTAAATAATATATATTCTGGTGATATTTTTATATCAGTTATGAATGAGTTGATGCATTGTCAGTAGGAAAAATGCATTTGGTCTGATGTCTCCATCTCACTATTGGCTTCATTTATTACTGAATTTATAGTTCTCTTTTCAGTCTATCTGTATCCTCAATGTGACTTACACAAATTTTAAAAAGTACCACATACAAACCATAACTATAAAAGCAATATAACCAGAATCAAAGTTTAAAGCCAACATGCCTATGATGCAAGTGTCAAACTATAGTGTCCCATTACCCTTTTTTAGGTAGGAAGGACTAAAACCACGGGGAAAGTGTCTTTAGATCCAAAGCCATCCTACTTGATGGCATTAAAATTGCTGAGAAATCCTGGAAAGCTAGCAGGGTCATACTAACAAAATCTACATCATTGTGTGGATAAAGATGTACCACTTTCTCAATCACCATATCCAAGAAAAGAATTATTTAAGAGTAGTCAGACAGGACCTTTTTTTAAAAATCAAGCAGACACTGAATAATTCCTTCAATGGGGTTAAGTTAAAACCTGGCCAATTTAAGGGTAAAGTTTGAGCAACCATAAGGTGGACTTTAGCTCTACATATAGTCTGTCAATGTCAACAAATAAAAGCTACAAAGAATTCTATATGAACAGGATAAGTAATTATCAAGGTTATCTATCAAGGTACCCTATGGCCTATCTCAACACTGGAAATAAAACTCCTGCAAATCTAATCAACTTCATTTGAAAAGTATATTGAAAATTGTTCCAACATTTCTGGATTCTATCCTCCAATATCTTGGTGGAGATGCCATACAGTGTGAAAAAGCATCACTACCCTGTTCACTGCAGACAAAGGTTAAGAAATTTGCCCTGTTTAATTGCTGTCACTAGTACTGTTTTCTTTTTCAGCCAAGCCACTTAAAGTACCCCAAGTCCATGTTTGATTTAATCCTTCCTGAGAATTTCTCCATTTGTATTTCCCCCTACATCACGGGTGTCAAACTCGCCACGTGATGTGACGTGCCGCGACGTATCGCAATTCTTTTTGCATTGCCGGCAATGGGGTGGGCGTGGCTTCAGTATGATGAAACTGGCCCACGGGCCTGCAGTTTGACACCCCTTCTCTACATTATCAATTATGTTACATTCCTCCACTACAGCGCTTTCCTTACTAATTTCATTACACTCAGCTTGCTAATACATCAAGATGCCTCTTGAGTTCTGCTATAACTAGATGTACTTAGGAGCACTAGTGCTAACTGTTAGGGCCATCTCTGTATTCCACAAATTGGTCTGGTCTTCAACAGAACTGTTAACAGACAATGGGGGAAATTCCCCAAGTATATTCAGAAAATCTTCTAGATCCATCCTGTACCTGAAGTAGACCATTTTCACTTTTCCTCTACCTATACAGGAGTATATATGCTAATCTAAACAGCATAGGCAGAAAGTGATCTGTCTACAATAATAAAGTTTACAGAAAACTCCTCCGCTATCAGATCATTAGTATAGAAGTTTTAATACTCCCATCCTCATCCTGTTTTGAGAAAGCTATTTTTCACACATGCTTTAAACCAAACATGAACACTTGGAGAATTAAGAAAGGAAAGTCATAGAAGCTACTAGAACTATTGTGTCCAAAAGCAGGATTATCTTAATGTTTTAGTAATATTGTGTTTTAATCCTAATAAAGAGTTATATTTCACAAATTTGTCACTCTCTCTGTATAAATCAGTTGTTCATATACTTTTCTTGACAACATTCTGAATAATTAAAAGTCCTAATATTTCACATATACATTCCTTGCTAAGCAACATTTATTTCAACATAAATGCTATTTTGATCTGCCAACTACAGTCAGAATCCCTTACAAATATAATATTTTACATGTTTCAGTGATAATTTTTCATTTTCTACTGAACCTGTTGGCACATAATTCTTGGACTAGCAAAATCAAATATGAGGGTGATAAATACATTCTAGCATGCACACTGTTATTAAATGTACTTTAACAGTAATCAAATCTGAACAATCTGGTGAATAAGAAGATACTGATAACAGGCACAGGGTGCTTCAGGGTGCTATTGGCTTAAATGTTGAAAGCTTAACTATCACAGTACAAAAAGCCATTCTAAAAGCAAGTTCAGATGGATTGGCCAGTTGTGAAATACTGTGGTTTCAAACTTTCAAAGGAGTTTATCCTCTCAGAATATAAAGTAACTTAAATGATATTTATGTAAGACAGATTAGATCATTAGCAAAACACTATCTTTTAAACATTTGCATTAATAGAGCACTTGCCTCACTGGATAGATAGAAGGTATATTATAAAATCAATTGGAAGAGAATCCAAATAGCAGTGGAAAATGAAGGCAGGTGCTCTCAACTAGTCCCTAATAGTATACCATCAACCACTTTACAAAATGTCAAATTCTGAATTTTAAAACCACGGAAGACGAGGCTATAAATGTTTATATGGGAAGAAAAACCAGGTCAATGCAAACCCTGACTCATCACTTTCAACCTTACTGACACCTTCCCCTGCCCCCCTCTCCCTCTTTGCTTTCCAGTTATTTTATTTTTGCTGGTACAGCAGCCACAGAAATTAAGGATTTTTGGCAAGCAATTTTATTAGTTAACATAAACGTCAAGCTGTTCTAGTGGGCATTTTTGGGTAGTAGTAAACCAATAAAAATTCACTGGGCTACAATAACAAACTTTTTGTTTAGCACCCTGAACATTGAAATAATGACTGCTAAGATTTGCATCTTGCTGACACAGCTTTTTGCATAAATTCAAGGAAAGATGCTTTAAAAATGCTTCTTTGGTGAAATAACTCACACAGCTTGTCATTTTTGCACATTTGTCTTCTACTGAAAAGGATGCCAAATTTGTTGAGAGTAGAGATGTTTGTTCTACTGCTTATATATTTTAAAATCCTCTATTCTGTGTTTGGTCTTTGGTCTTTATTTGTTTATTCATTCCTCTTCACAAACTGAATTGCTTTGGTGAAGGCAGAAAATAACAACCCAACTAAAGCTTTAACCAAGACCCCCTGGAGTTCCACCAGCTGTGCTATTAAGTTAAGTGGCTAAATCTCTCAACCAATTCTCTTTCTGATAGGACAAAACCCTCATCTATATACAGCAGCAATGATATTTAAGTATATCCCCTCCTTTTTTATTTTTTTCCTGTTTAAGCCTCAAAATTAATATCATCTATCATTGATAAATTGGAATTGGGGGAAGGATTAGACAGATTCCCCCAGATGATAGTTTGGGAAGAAAAATCCAAATTTTCCTCATACAAATCTTGCTTAATGATGTCAAGTAAACTGTAGAGCAATGCACAAAGGAGTTTATATTTTTTTAAAAAGTAGCATATAGTTAAACTGGGGATCCTTAACTTACTATTTCCTGATTGCCAAACTGATCCAAAAGTAAACTGTTTTTTGATAACAGAAATGCCAACTTCCTTTTCCCCAACAATTTACTGCATTGTGATACTTTACAGTTTGATTAGAAAACACCTTCCCACTGAATGTATTTCTTCAGCTTCTTCTGATCTTTAGCAGAGTGTTAGCAAATGTTCAGGAAAACTATAACTGCTCTTGACTGATTACAGAAAACCATAAAAATCAGCAATAGCATTGTATTGCTGAAGAGTTTCTGATTTAAATCAGACCTAAAAAGAGTGTACCTTTTCAAGGACGTCTACTCGCTAGATGCCCATGTTTCAGGTTGTATCAGCTTTATCACAGTGCTGTCTACCTGGTTTAGGTACATTGTCATGACCAACAAGACAAAATGAAATATTATTTCTAGAAAACCAAAGGGGCAAGGAGTCAGTTTGAATATCTTCCAACTTCCTAGCAAGTATGCTAGAGAAGAAAGAAAGGATGCTTCCTTGCTAGGATCTCTCTAACCTACAAAGTATAGTGAATCTAAAGATAAAGCTAACTGAAAACAGTCAATCAAAACTACAATACACGGTAAACTGCCTAATAATTTGCCAAAGCGTTGTGCAGAATTGTTTGAAAAATTAAGGTGACT